TATTCTACATCTTTAGACCTTATTTACATCTATGCATTAACATCAACTGATTTGGCTCAGGCATAGTAGAAGTATTCCTAGAAGTTGTTCTATGTTAAAATCATAGAGAATTGTTGCTTTATGGTCACTAAAAAGGCTAAAATTACAAAGATTGAATGAAGGTAATGCCAGTTGGTATAACCAGTTTGGAAAACTGTCTGATATCTACCACACCTAAACATAAGTTGTGGCCTAATGGTCCACTCCTAACTAGGTACTCTCTGGAAATGTGGACACAATTTTGCCAAAACCCACATAATTTAATGTTCATAACAACACTATTTGTGTTAGCTCCAAACTAGAATCTAGCCACAGACCCATTAACAAACATACTGATAAATTAAAAATGGTGAATATTTCAAACAATGGATATTGTATAGAATTAATAATCTGTATCTATATCCAACAATGTAGTTGACTATTCCAAACATTGTGAAAGACTAAACACAAGAGCAAATAGCTTATTTTCCATTTATATAAAGTACTAAAACCAGGTAAATATACCCCATGTTCTTAGAGATCCTGATAGTGTTCATCCCACATGGAGGGCCAGGAGGACAGAGGGCAAGGGGCACTGACTGAAAGGCAGTATTGAAATTTTTGGGAGATAGTGAAGTTCAGTGATTTGACCTTGATGGCAGTTTTGTGTTTTCACATTAATATTCAGCAAATCATTTGCTCTTATTCTCTTTATGCACATTACACTTCACTATCAAGGTTTTTAAAAAACAACATTTCAATTTTTCTTGAATGATTAAACTCATTTATGTCAGAGTGAACCAGTTGCTTCATGCATGCATATTAAAAAGTCTTTAAAGACTGATTTCACAAATTGCTGGTAAAGCAAGCTCCCCTTATCAGACAGGACTACCTTGTTTGCTTATGTTGTCTGGGAGTTGATTGAGAAACCACTGCCTCAACTAAAGTTCTGTAAATGGTTTTAAAAAGACATTACTACATTACTTCCTGTTCCGTGGTTTACATGCAATAGAACTGAACAGAGTTGGATTACTGGAGAGTTTATGAAATCCCAGGAGGTGATAACCCCCTGCTGCTTCTACATTCCAGGAGACCTGAGCTTGTTCCTATAGAGAACATGCCTTCCTTTTCCAGAACAAATCAAAGAAAGTTCACAGCATTAGCATTCAGTGGGAGTGCAGTATGAATCCTGATCAAGTTCTGGTGATGCTAGGATTAGTAGTTTGTTTTTTTTTTTTCTTCTCCTCCTTTGCTTTGCCGTAAGTTTCTGATGGGTGGAGCATCTAGTAATCCCTATTTCCCAAGCTCTTTCAACTTCCTTTAGAAGGTACTTTCCTGTACTGCTTTCGATTTTTAGCAGAGGTGAACTGGTCCCTGTGAGCAATCTCAGCTAATAAATGTGCCCTTAAAAGATTCGAAACATGAGATTGTCTGCAAAGATTATTTGGTTGATATTGTGGACTGTTTGTACAGCAGAAGGTAAGATGAAAACAAAAAAGCTTTTTCCTCATAAGTGTCTTAGGAAACATTTGCTGATGTTGTTTTCACATAATTAAAATTTAGTCTAGAAAATGTGATTTAATTAGTAGTTGTAGCTCAGTGTTTGGCTTTTAACATTTTATACATTAAAAATGTAATTACCTGGGCTGGGGTTGTAGCTCAGTGGTAAAGTGCTTGCCTCTCATATGTGAGGCACTGGGTTCAATCCTCAGCACCACATAAAAACAAACAAAGATATTGTGTGTTCATCTACAACTAAAATAAATATTTTTAAAAAATGTAATTACCTTATTTGAATGGCATACCTGACTATTCATAATTCTATTTCATGTATAATTTAAGAAATTATTTCAATAAGTGTTTCTGAAAACTAATTTGGTATGATCATTTCCCATGTAATTAACATAAGATAC